AAAAAAAAAAAAAAAAAAAAAAAAAAAAACTAAAAAAAACACTAAAAATAGAACTACCATATGATCCAGCAATCCCACTACTGGGTATATGCCCTGAGAAAACCATGATTCAAAAATAGTCATATACCACAATGTTCATTGCAGCTCTATTTACAATAGCCAGGACATGGAAGCAACTTAAGTGTCCATCGACAGATGAATGGATGAAGAAGATGTGGCACTTATATACAATGGAGTATTACTCAGCCATAAAAGAAAATGAAATTGAGTTATTTGTAGTGAGGTGGATGGACCTAGAGCCTGTCATACAGAGTGAAGTAAGGCTAACACATATATATGGAATCTAAAAAAACCCAAAAACCCCAAAACATGGTTCTGAAGAACCAGGGGCGGGACAGGAATAAAGACGCAGATGTAGAGAATGGACTTGAGGACACGGGTAGTGGGAGGGGTAAGCTGGACGAAGTGAGAGAGTGGCATGGACATATACACACTACCAAATGTAAAACAGATAGCTATTGGGAAGCAGCTGCATAGCACAAGGAGATCAGCTCGGTGCTTTGTGAGGGGTGGGATACGTAGAGGGGTGGGATATGGAGGGTGGGAGGGACACGCAGTGGGGAGGAGATATGGGGATGTATGTATATGTATAGCTGATTCACTTTGTTATAAAGCAGAAACTAACACACCATTGTAAAGCAATTATACTCCAATAAAGATGTTTAAAAAAATGATAAAGGCAAAACAATTGCCCTTGGTGCAAGAGTTACTATGTTTTCATTTTTTGTTTGTGTGGTTTAAAGAGGAGATTCCTGGCTTGTTAGAATGTCACACAAACCAAAGACCACAGTTTTATACCAAAACTTGAACAAAATTAAATTTTGTTATATGTTTCTCTTCTCTGTAGAATACTAAATATCACGTATCAGTTCTTCAAAAGTCATCTTTAAAATGAATTGCAAAATCATTTATATTATCTTGTCTCCATGAATTCTCATTGTCTAATGTATAATTTAACCAAAAGAGCATCCATCTTCTGGAAAAATATTACTGAGATTTATTTCTTTTATGCCTCTCAGCTTTTCCATGAAGATAAATCTAGAATGGATTTGGGATCACTGTTCCACTAGAAAGTTACTGATAGCTCCTGCCAGAACTTGTTTTTTGATGGTAAGGAAATAAATGCAACTCTCAAGTTCTTAAAATAGTATGTGACCACCAAAATATTCATCAGCTAAACAAATAAATGTTCATTTGAGAATACAAATAGTTTCTTGAAGGGTCTCGAAGGTTCTGTCATTATCTTCTGAGTACACCAAAATGACCATCCTTATTTTACTTGGATAAAAAATGTAACCATGTGGTGATTTTCAGAAGGCATCAAATAGTAGAATTTGGACCAGAGAGGCCTGAGTTTGCATTTTGATTCTACCATTTGCCTTGTCTTAACCTTATTTTCCTCATTTGTATAATGACAATGATAACATAGGATTAGTGGAGATTTATTAAGGTAGTGAATATAAAATACTTGGAACACTAAAGATGATGATTGGAAGTAAGTTCCCTTTCTTAAATTATATCAAACAAAAATCCTCTATGTAATACAATATAAATTGTTTATTATTGCTGAGAGACTCATTTTTTCAAAGTCACCATCAAAAATGGTAAACTAACAGGAACAATCAAACACTATTCTGCAGCAGTGTCGTCTAATAGAACTTTTTATGATGAAAAAATGTTCTATACCTGTGCTGTCTAATATGGTAGCCACTAGCAATATGTGGTGACTGTGCACTTAAAATGTGGTTAATGTAACTGAGGAACTGAATTTTTATTTTTATTAAATTTTAATTAATTAAATTTTAATTAAATTAATTTTTTAAAATTCATTTTTTTCTTCCAGTTTTATTGAGATATAATTGATATACAGCACTATATAAGTTTAAGGTGTACAGCATAGTGAACTAAATTAATAAATAATTAAATTTTAATAAATAATTTAATTTTAAATATCTGATGTGGCTAGTGGCTACTGTATTGGACAATACAGTTCTAGTGGAATAATGAGCTCAAATTTTGCCAAATTTACGTAGACATATCAAAGTCAGCATTCACAATTAAAAAAATGAATGATACTATTCTACATGTAATTTATGACTAACCAGTTCATCTTAAGTCTCACTGTGATAGACATTAGAAAGTGGAGTTCTTTTCTTGATGAGTCTATTTCTTGACCTCTGTTTCTGCCCCTAACTCCAGCTTACATATACATGAAAAGGCAGAATTCCCATTTGACTTTAAGAGGCCAGAAGGTTTGGTATGCCTACCTCAAATCAGGCTTATATGTTTCCTCATGCAAAAAGATGATAGTAAATATAAGACCTCACCCTCTCTTTTATCTCTTGTTCAGAAGACATCTGTATTCAAATATAAATTTGTGCTGACAAATACATCTAAAGGGCAGTAGATGTCTATGAGAATTGTGACCAAAACTGATATATATATATTTTAAATTGGGACGTAGCTGTTTTACAATGTTGTGTTAGTTTCTACTGTACAGCGAAGTGGAGTTCCCTGTGCTATATAGCAGGTTCTCATTAGTTATCTATTTTTTACATATTAGTGTATATATGTCAATCCCAATCTCCCAAGTCATCCCACCCCCCGTTTCACCCCTTGGTGTCTATACATTAGTTCTCTATGCCTGTGTCTCTATTTCTGCCTTGCAAATGAGTTCATCTGTACCATTTTTCTAGATATGTTTTTTTAAAGGGAAACTGAGTGTGCTGGGTAAGATGGAGGTGAAAGTGGTTGTGAAAGGTAAAAGGAATAAGAACAAAATTAAAATGTATCAAGATCCAAAACAGGAGAAGAGAAAGCTCTCAAAGCAAAAGTGAAAGCATGAGACAGGAAGATAACGTGTGGGGTAGGCAGATGGTAGAGAGGGTGGAAGCAGGACAGTGTCTGGGTCAAAGCATCTGCAAGACACAGGAGAAAAAGAACATCCAAATTCAGAAGGAGACTAATCCAGAGCTGAGCGCTCCTCTGAACGCATGTCACTAAGATCAATTGGGTCCTGCTGAAAATTTTCAGACCACGTTTACCTGACTTCTGAGTCACGGTTGGTAGGGGTGGTGCTGCCCGCTCTTCTACCTTGAAACTCTGTCCTTGTTGTTTGTTCCACAAAATAATTGATTTCTTCTTATCTTCCTAGAGGCTGCTTCTCAGTCTCCTTCCCAGCTGATTTTTTTTATCTCCACTAGGTATGATTAGGGGAGGCTGTGCACTGCTCAGCTCCAGGGGTGCCATTCACATTGTAGACTGTACACATCTGTAAATTCATTACGATGACGTTCGGGCTGATGGCAGTAAAGGTGTCCTCTAATTCAAACAAGGGCACCATATGGCCTAGAAGCTCCTCAGTTTGGCCTCTAGCAAGGCAGTACTTCCCCTTGCGGGAGACCCTAGGCCCTTTGCTGTTTTCATTTTTAATGTAGATACTGATGACCTCATTCATACATACAGCTTCATCCACCACCTATATGGCTCCTAAACTGTTATATTATCCACAACCAGACTTCTCTCCAGAGCCCCAGACTCACCTTCTAATGGGGTTTTTACACAGTTCTACTCAGATATTTCAGTGGCACCAAAAATACAACACATTAAAAAGATGAATTGATCCCCAATCCTGTTTAACACCACCATCGTCCATCTCGTAACTCAAGCCAGAATGCGAGAATTATCTCTATCTCACTCACTCCCCACAAAACATCAATCTGTAAATCCTGGAGATTCTGCCTCAATTGACTTCTTTCACATCTGTCCCTGCTACATTCTTAGTGCAGTTGTTTGGGGCCTCTCAGTGGCCCTCTCCAATCACCTGTCATCTCCTCTGTTAATCTGGTGCATTCTGCATCCACATAGTTTCCAGTGGGATCTTGGCACATATTACCATGTCACTCTCTCACTGAAGCGTCTTCAATTGTTATATCTTGCTAATGCAATTCGTGATGGAATTTGAATTCCCAGTTGTGGGATATAACAAGTCACTACAGGTGAGCTGGTCCCGGCATGCTTCTCCATTTTCAACTTTCACCACTTGTCCTGACGTATACGACACTTTAGACATACACATTACCTTTGCCTTCCTTAACAGCCCCAGCTCAACCTCTGAGGCTGGGTCAGTGGTCCTTCCTAGAACTCCAGTGGTATTTAGCAGAGCACATTGCAATAGTTTCCAAATCTGTCTTTCCCGAGAGACTTCAAGTATCTTGAGAACAGGGAAATGATTTTATCTTTGTATCTCTAGTACTTGCTACTCAGAATGATTGACAAGTCGATGGGTGAAGGCATAAGTCAAAGAGAAAGGAAAGGGAGGAAATTATGAACTTCAAATTCTTCTGAAAGATCAGGAAAGTTGAGGAGGTAAGGTAGGAAAGAAAATAGTGGCTATGACGCAGTCCATATCTCCAGATTTCAAAATCACTCAGCTTTTTCTAACCGCGTAGGTAGAAGTGTAGCATTGAATGCAGCATTATTTCACAGAGACACCTAACATTTTTATGCTTCAGTTTTTAAAAAAAATCTTTAAAAGGGGCCAAATTACTTCAAAGCAGTAATACCCTATAAAGTCGTTGTCAAAGCTATGGATATTGGTGATAAAACTTAAAGGAAAGTTGCTATGATATTTAAATGTAAAAGAATAATGGCAGAGAATAGAAACTGCCTTTACACAAAGCTATTTCAAAACAGTGAGCATAAAAGGAAACTCTCCAAGCATATTTTTTCTTCTATTCTTCTTTCTTTTAAAAAAGTTTGTTATTTTGAAAGTACATAGATGTTCACAGCTATAAAGAGGCAGTAGTGGCACATCTATTTGAAGTACATTTAATGTCACCATTAAGCTGTATCAATTACTTTGTATATGTAACAAACAACAGATATGAGTTTTGGCTTATAAAAATTATCTTGCATTAAGTCTGGGATTTTATTTTGTTTCAAGTTCAAATATCTGGGGTATATCTGTTTGAACACCATCATCAACAGAGCCTTATGATGGAATATATCATTTCCTAAACGAACACCCACAGAGTTTTAGAAGAAGTCAACTCTCCACACCATTAGTTTGAGCTATAATTAAACCGTAATGCTGGCAACAACATGTCATAATTTCAAGCACTGACATTTTAAAATGCAGATAGTTAAAAAATTTTTTTTAGTTTTAAAAGTTTACTGAGTTTACGTTCTGTTTCATTTGTATCTTCCTTTATAGTATTAGACATTCAAAAGGTGCTCAATAAATACTTAGATAAATTATTAAACCTTCTAAGCCTCATTTTTACTCATCAAAGAGATGGGATTAATACCCATATCATAAAGTCATTGGAGGATTAAACGAGATAGTGCTTTGTACCGTGCCTGGTACATAGTAACCATTCAATCAAAGGTTGCTATTATTATGTGCATGTCTGATCCTTGTAAGCCTGGTTGAGGGGCTGTTTTATCCTCAATACTGTCATCTTATATTTCAGCTCTATAAGTAGGGTAATAGTTGAGTAACAAAACACAAAGCCAGGTTCAGAGACAAATTGGAAACTCTAAATGTACATAGCCAGCCAATAATGAGACACTGCAGACTAAGTAGCTTATGAAACAAACTTTTACCCTTTGGAATGATTTTTTTATCCGCCACACAGCATAAAGTTAGTATTGAATAACTTAATGCACATTATAGGTCAAATGCAAATGTTGCTTCACGTGAGTTTTCTCTCCACCAAGGATTTTCATCAATTCTCCATAGGTCTATGACTCCAAGCAGATCGAGAACCACTGACCTAGACAATTGCAGGCACGGAAGGTACTTTGTTCTTCTTATAAACACATTTGGCAGTGCGGTGCGGCATGCAGGATCTTAGTTCCCTGACCAAGGACCGAACCCGCGCCCCCTGCATTGGAAGCGTGGAGTCTTAACAACTGGACTGCCAGGGAAGTTCTAAAAATAAACTTCTAAAAGAGGGTTTTTTCTGACTCTTCCCCATTTTTGCAGATGTTTTTCAGGTGTTATTCTGAATCTTCTCTCTTTGAGTGTATTCTTTTGATCTCTCCTCAGCAGAGACACAGAACTGTTGGCCACAGTTATTCAGATTTGATCTCAATTCACTATTTTACTCTTCTTGCATTAAATAGTCATTTTATAGGAATTTTCTCTGCTGTTACCAACATTCCACATTATCCATATTATTTCCCTTTTAGATGATGATATGGGAGAATAAGATCAGTGTTCTTCATGAAAGATGAGACTTCATAAACAATAGAAGGAAGATTCACTATCATCCAGTTTAGAAAAAAATTGAAAGTGGTTGTAGATGGTGGACAGTATAATTTCCTTAAAACACTATGAGTTAAAATAGTTTAACTCTACCCACAACAGATTTACTGACCTGAAGAAATCACCAAAAAAGATATGTTGATTCTCAGGCTAAAAAATCAAGAAGGACTTGGGTTGGTCAGAAACCTTACTGAATTATCTAATATCAAAGAATGTTTTCAGGGAAAATCTCATGAATAGAAGTAAAGAACAAGAATTTGTAGATATTTTTCCCCAATAGTGATCAAAAGATAGAGACATAAAAACCTGACATTCTGGAAGCCCGAGGGGCTTGTGCTGTGGTGGGACAGGATTCTGCTTAGATTTCACTGCCATATTTTGTATAAGCCATTTCAAGGGTATTCACTGCAGGTTGCACTAATTCCATGTTCACTAAACTATCTTTTTTGGACCCAACGTAACAGTCTGACTCCATCATTTTGTGCTTGACTACAGACATCTTTTATGCCTTACGCCTCCCTCTTCCCCTTCTGTCTCACATCTGGGCAAGCTGATAAAAACCTAGGTGCTTTGTCACCAACAGCAAGTTCAAATCATGCACTAAAACCCTCACTCCAGCCTCAGCCCCTAACCACCATAAAAACTCAAAGGCAATCTCCTTTTGTCCTTTCACAGTTCTTTCAAGCCATTTCAGATCAGCTTGAGAGGCCCGTCCTGCTCTCCCCAGAAAGCTTCATTATGGGAATAAAAAACCTTTTCATACATTCTTGGTGTGTGTGTGTGTGTGTGTGTGTGTGTGTGTGTTTGTGATGATTACTTTCAAAATCCAAACCAAATTTTGGGTGGGGATCCATCTCAACTCTGTGAACTGGCCATAGCAACCAGTCACCAAGATACTGGAAGGAGGGTCCCTTGCAACGAAGACATAATAATTTTAGTACCTAGGAAGAAATCTGCATCCAAGAGTAACTTAATAAACTGAGACTCTAGTTCAGGTGTCCGCAATCCCCTGGCTGTGGACCGGTATCGGTCTGTGGCCTGTTAGGAACTGGGCCACGCAGCCTGAGGTGAGCGGCAGGCCAGTGAGCGAAGCTTCCTCTGCTGCTCCCCATTGCCCTCCATCGCTCGCATTACCACCTGACCCATCCCCCCCCCCCCCCCCCCACCCGTGGAAAAATTGTCTTCAACGAAACTGGTCCCTGGTGCCGAAACGGTTGGGGACCACTGCTCTAGTTCATACATCAATTTTTTGTGAGTTCATATACTGGGAATCCATTCCATTGAATCTAATCAATGTTAACATGATGTCAAGATTCAATTTCAGAAACTGAGAAGCTGAAGATTAGTCTTTGGAATTTGGTAACCTTTCCAAGAGATCACTCAGCACACTTTCTCTTTTTGCTTTTATTTATCATATGGAAACACAATTTTATTCCTCTAAGAAATAATGCACACACACTTCATTTGAAGGAACAGTTCTATTTTATGGAAGGGAAACTTAGATGCCTGCAGGGGGCAGTAGGTAACTTAAATGGAGCAGGCAAGAGAAAATAGACATGCTACGCTTTGCATTACAACCCAGAATAATCTGGCTCTATTACATTGCCCATTAAAACCCTTTACTGTGCTTTAAAAGGCATTGTGAAGCCAGATTTTGACCCCCTGCTGTAACTGCTAATGTTGAAAAGTTGCATAAATAGAAATAGCAGCATTTTAACCTCTTTGTTATTAAACAAAAACCTCTTGGTATCTGCAATGTAGACACTAACTTACAGGAATGTATATAAACAGGTGAAGAGTGCCACTGTAGGAATCAAGGCCTTTGTTTCAACTCTCTCTTGCTTTGCATTTCCACTTTCACTTTTATTTTATTTTGACCAGACCCTTATGCTTCATTAATTGTCACAAAATCTGATGCTCAATAAATGGACATTACTCCTGAAATAAATCCCGATGTTGACTTTGGTATTTTCAAACACTTTTTGGAAATACCAGAGTCAATATTTTATGGAATATTTTATGGAAACTTTGAGCTATTTGATAAAAACATAACAAATATTATTCACTGAACTAGAAATCTGCAAAAACATAGATTCTTTTATAGAATTCTGGGATTTTGGAATTATCCAGAACTAGGTTCAAACAATGGCTTCACCAGTTACTAACTGTGTGACTGGGGAAAGTTCATGAGCCTCAACAGTCCTGTGGAATGTTGTGAGGATTAAATGAGATTGCCTACATAAAGCATCCATCATATTGCCCAGCACAGGAAGTCCTCCATAAATGTTAACCCCTTTCATTTCCAAGTTAGTCCACGCAAGTCCTTCTGGGCTTTGGTACTGTGAAACCTTGTAGGGGCTTCATGAGCCTGATGGTTCATATTTACTCACAATATTCAAACTTGCATAATCATAGAGGATAGTTTAATTGATTGTGGAGGTACAATAACAATTGCAGGAATTACTGTGGTGTGTTGACTCACCCATGTTTGAACTTGATGTGATAAAGAAGGTGAAAGAATTAATGATGGCTATTTCTCACTTATGGCTACTCACAACTATTGATTTTCTTCTCTTGCTTTCTGACAAGCACAGGAAATCCACCTGCTGTGCGGACAAAGTTTTAATCAACGAACACAAATAGCCAAGCAACCGACTTTCTGAAAAATGAGTCCACTATTTACTTTAAAGGAGCAGTCTCTAAATGGGAAATCATTGCCTATCCTCAAAAAGCATGGTTACACACTGATTCTACAGAAGTAAACTCTGATGCTAGGAGTGGATGAGACTCTGAAAGAAATCAAGCTTTCTGCTTCTTCCCTCCCAGAGGATCTTTTCAAGTTAATATCCCTGAAAGCCTAAAACAAAGCCACTTACAGACACAAGGTAAATGAAAAACCTGTTCATATAATGTTAGGGTTGAATGTGTAAATATATCAAAGGTCAAATTTCAGTTACAGTTCCCATAGCAATTGGAACTTAGCCACTTAACACTTCAACTGTAACAACAACCCAGAGTACCCACAACCAGAGAAAGCATTTCTGCAGCAGCTCTAGGCCTTTCTGTCATTGAAAAGTTTTGGCTATTATGTTGCATTTTGTTTTGGTGTGTTTATTCATATCAGGATTTCAAACGCATCGCATGTAGGGCCTACTACTGAAAGCTCTTCAAATTGGTATGTTTCACATTAATTCTAAAATTGTCCACTTCAGCCAGTGGTATTATAAATTCGTCCTTACACTTCTTTTTTTTTTTTTTTGTCTGCATTGGGTCTTCATTGCTGCATGCAGGTTTTCTCTAGTTGTGGCAAGCGGGGGCTACTCTTCGTTGCAGTGTGTGGGCTGTAAGAGTGAGGGCTTCACTAGTTGTGGCTCGCAGGCTCCAGAGCACAGGCTCAGTAGTTGTGGCACACGGGCTTTGCTGCTCCGTGTCATGTGGGATCGTTCCGGTCCAGGGCTCGAATCCGTGTCCCCTGCATTGGCAGGCGGATTCTTAACCACTGTGCCACCAGGGAAGCTCCATCCTTACACTTTTATGGAGAAACATTTATGATAAATCCTCCTTGGAAGGCTGTTTTTATGCTATAGTGTAAGTCAAAAAATTTAAGTGTTCACCATGCAGCAAACGAATTCAAAGTGCGAAATATGTAAAAATTAAGGGCCAAAAGCCAGGAAGCTTCACCCAAAGCTGAGGGTGAAGTAGTTTTATGGAAACTACTAAAATAAAGCAACAACAATGTAAACTTTGGATAAATTTTGTTTTAAAAGCAGAGGTATAAATGATTTTTTATTATACACATAGCAGGAAAATAAAGACAACAAATATAGTTTCATAGTCAGATGAGAATTAGTGATCTCTGAACCTGTCTTCTTTGTATTCAAAGCTCAGTGTAACAACTCAACATTATTCCAGAATCATGATGTGAGATCAAATGGCTAGTTTATATAGTCAAAGTAAAGTGAGTGATTCTAGAATATCTAGAACAAGGGCCAACAAACTATAGCCCATAGACCAAATATAGCCTGAGGTCTTGTTATAAATAAAGTTTTATTGCAATATAGTCAAACCTATACCTTTATATACTGTCTGTGGCTGCTTTCATGCTATAATGACAGGCAGATGGAATGGTTGTGATAGAGACTACTGGGTTGGCAAAGCTTAAAATATTTACAATCTGGACCTCTACAGAAAATCCACCCAAGAAGCTTAAATAAAAGCATCCATAAGGATCCACTGCCTGGATCCTACTGTATAGCACAGGGAACTTGTGCTAAACCATAATGGAAAAGAATATGAAAAAGAATGTATGTATATGTATAACTGAATCACGTTGCTGTACAGCAGAAATTAACACAACATTGTAAATCAGTTATACTTCAATAAAATAAATTTGAAAAAAAAAAGATCCATTGCCTGAAATATACAACTTTCTGTATTTGGTTGAGGAAAAGTTAACAAAAAAATGCATAGACTAGAAATGAATATTTATTTTGTCCACTTTCAGGCCATAAAGTTACCAAATTCCAACTAAAATGTGGATAAATCATCCCTTAAAGAGTTTCAGAAAAGTTGATACAATTGCCTCTTTTTCATAATCTAACCATCGATGTACAGACACGATACAGTTAAAAATCTGTCTTGCTGGATTTAAAGCTTTAAAGTTCAAATGTCCTGTACTTGAAATCCGAATATTAGAAAGTATATTTATGTTTTTTTACTTCAGGGGTATTTTTATTGAAAGTCAAGTAGAAATAGAATACCCCAAGCAAAATATTTATCATTTAATAACCAAGTTTTAGAGAAATGAGGAAGAATGGACAAAATAGTTATACTCAATACAGAATGAAAGAATGCCAGAAGGAACTTAGTGACATGTAAAATTGGTCTTGTAAAATAATGGGGGGGCCTCCCTGATAGCGCAGTGGTTGAGAGTCCTCCCGCCGATGCAGGGGACGCGGGTTCATGCCCCGGTCCGGGAAGATCCCACATGCCGCTGAGCGGCTGGGCCCGTGAGCCGTGGCCGCTAAGCCTGTGCGTCCGGAGCCTGTGCTCCGCAACGGGACAGGCCACAACAATGAGAGAGGCCCGCATACCGCAAAAAAAAAAAAAAAAAAAAAAAGAAAGGGTAAGAAATAGATAGTTTTATTAGCTGGAGGAAACATGGGAATATTTATGGAAGTTTCAGCAAGGGAAATTTAGGCAAACTACAATTAAAAAAAAAAAAGGCAGAGCCATAAGAAAAACCCAGCTATATAAAATTCTGACAAGAAGACTGGAAATTCGTGTTCATATAACATCATAAATAATGAAAGCAATTATGGAAAATGGCAAAAAGATTGCATATTTTTCAGAAAAAAGTTAAGCCTGGAATTATAAAATGGTCGATTTAGCTTCAAACCTAAAAAAAAAATACTCAAGCGACTCATACAGAAATCAATTTTCAACTGCTTAGAATATCAGAAGGTACAAAATAATAACCACCATGGCTCTGGCTTTCTGAAAAACACATTTGGTCACACCGATCTCATTTCTTCCTATGATACAGTGACCGGAACAGTAGATAGAGTCAACTGAGGTCTTTCACTTAATTGCTTATGACGTTCCTCTTGTAAGAAACACAAAGATGGTTTAGAAAAACACAGACTCTCCTAGGGCTGCAATATGGAAACCACTAGCTCCAGGTGGCTACTATACACTTGAAATGTGGCTAGTCTGAATTCAGATATGCTGTTAAGTGTAAATATATAACAGATTTTGAAAACTTAGTACAAAAAACTCATATCGATGATTATATATTGGTTATATATTGAAATGATAATGTTTTATATATTCTGGGTTGAATAAAATATATGATTAAATTAATTTAAATTAACCAGTTTTAACATATTTCAATGTGACTATTGGCAAATTTAAAATTACACATAGTTTGCATTTGGGCTTAACAATATTTCTACTGGAGAGCACTGTCTGGAATATGGATGCTAAACCCAGTAGATTGTGGAGAATCTTTTGTCCTTTGTGAGCATCATTTTTTCCTATGTAACAGAGGGTGGGAAGGTTGAGAGGTTGGAGGGTAGGATGGGGGCAGGAGAGTTCTTTGTTGGGCTGTTGGACAGTGTGTCCCCTCTATTGCTGTGTGGCTAGCATTTCTAGGCCCCACCCACTCATGCTTCCCCATCTCTAGTCATGACAGCCCAAACCATCCTTCTCATGGTTCCAAATGCCCCTAGGGTGATAGCCCATGTTGAAAACCAGTGGGCTAGGAGACTGCTCATAGGGTCCTTTTCAGTGCTGAATTTTTATGATTCTACAGTGTGATTTTATAAAACTCCTTTTTTTTGTTTTGGTTTTATGAAAATTACTTGTTATTGATATATGAACCTACTGTCTAATGACAGCCCACTTGAGGGCTGAACACACGACCATTCTTAGTGTTTACCCTGTACAATTTTCTAAGTTTGTATGAAGTGTATTCATCTAGCATTGTAGTACTTAGCACCTGCTGCTTTTTATTTCATTCATTTGTGTACATGTCTTGGGCTCCAAGCAAGATCATAAGCTCTGATGGCAGGAAGTTTCTTATATAACCTTTCTCTCCCATAACAAATGAATAATAGATACCAGTGAAGTAAATGTATCCAGAGGTCAGGATAGCTTTCTGGATTGAGTTAGAATCTGGTGTTATTTAATATTTTCAGCAGTGACTATGATGGTCATTCATTTGAAACTTAACCATATGCTGCCTTAGGCAGTATAAAAATTTGACTGTCCAAATTAAATAGAATTCTTTGAGGACAGAGAATTATGTGTTACTGTGGTAATAATAATATTTTAAAATAACTGTGATATATTCATTTTCTAATTTAGGAATTGAAAGAACCCTAAAAAGCAGACATTGTTACCATCTCCATTTTACCGAAGAGGAAACCTTGGTTTAAGGAAGTTGAAAACCTGATGACAGGAGTGCCAGGATTTGAAGATAGAACTTGAATTCAGGTCATCTGATGCTGGACTGATGGTCTTTGTGTCACTCTACAACACTGTAATATTCCTTCCTTTGTATCTGTCCTAGTTTTTTTTTTTTCCATAGAAGTTGACCCTGAGAAAAGGATTTGAGTGGAGATTTGGGGAGGTGCAGGGAAAACCTGAGGAGTAGGGATGAGAAAAGCATCCAGTAAGGAGTGATATTAAGTCACTATATGCAAATGGACTTTAATAGCTCAGGTAATACTGGGAATGGAGATATTTGGAGCATTTGGAGATTGGGCCTTTATAGAGGTGATTAAGCTAAAATGAGCATGTTAGAGTGGGCCCTAATCCAATCTGTCATGTCCTTATAAGAAGAAGAAATCTGGACACACAAAGAGACATCAGGGATGTGCACACAGAGGAAAGACCATGTGAGGACGCAATGAAAAGGCGGCCACCTGCAAGCCAAGGAGAGAGGCCTCAGAAGAAACCACACTTGCCAACAGCTTGACCTTGGACTTTTACCCTCCTGAACTGTGAGAAAATAAATGTCTATCATTTAAGCCACCCAGTCTGTGGTATTTTGTTATGGCAGCAATTGCAAAAGAATACATGATGGCTCAGAAATTTTCCTCCCAAGTAGTAAGGGAGCTGGAATAAATGTTCTTAAGTTTCACCCTCTGTACTCATGGGTCTCATATGGTCTCCTTGTCAACTCAAAGACCCTGGCTAGGGACTCTGACCTGTGAACCACCTGCACTGTCCTCACCTACGTCCTGTTTTTGCCTCCCCACTACCATCCCTGTTCTGCTGTTTTCCGGTATTGCTCACAACCGTGCATAGACAACACACCCATTTCCATCTGAATAAGACACTGGAGAATCAGCCTTCCCAGCTACTACTCAGGTAGATGGGTATTTTGGAAATAGCATTAGAATTCAAAAAGAGTTAGAAGCGCTGGAATGAAGTACACAAAGTGAATTTTAATAGCGAACACACATAGGATTAAAAACATTTCAGAGAGACAACAACCATCAGTTATAGCTAAAGATTTTGAATTCCAACTGAATTTCAATGCAGAATATAGCGCAGTAACACATTATCCGTGTCATTACTTTAAGTAAAGAGCACGGGGCTGATACAGAACAAGTGAGGTACAGATGTGAACGCACATTTTAATTCATTGCACCAGTGCTGTTAGATGATATTATTATGTATCTAGAGGACAAGAGGATATGCTGGAAGAAGAAATTAATTTTCCATTACGCATCTGGGTAAAAATTATATCTAGTTTGGAACATTATGAAATGATATATAAAGTGGAAATATTGAAAAGAGGCAAGAAGTGAAAAATAGAGATGGTTTAACATTTGTTTAGAAGTCTTTGAGGAAAAGCCTGTGAAATTTGGAAAATGAAGATCAGCAACAATACTGAAGTTTCTGAAGTGGTATCTGGTGGATTCAGATCAGTTATCTATTCCTATTGGGGATTTACAAGAGAAGAAATGGATATTGAAAGCTGAAGGAGAGATTTAACTGAGCCTCACAAACCTTGAGGGTCAGAGTAAAATATTAGAAAATGCCACCAAAGGTTAAAAAAATTTCCTCTCCAGGGACCTGTAAGAACAAGGATGATCAATCACACTTTACAATGGATCTTGGGAACCAGGCCACACAATTTATCACAGTGAGAACAAATAATTTGGAAATATAGCTCTGAGAACAAATAATTTGGAAGTATACAGTTCTTGGACACTTGAGTGGTATTTAAGAATTCAGTGACAAATTAACTTGTCTACAACTTCTTTATTTAAAGCCTGACCTAATCTCTCTCAGAACTGCAGGTTCAAATTGATTTCTGTGGCCTGGATAGACACTTATTCTGGTGGAGTTATGTAAGGTTCTTCTATAAAGGAGGGAGATGAGCCTCTTGGAGACTTTTCTATCTTTGTGTTGATTTTTTTAGAGATGAAATTCACATAACGTAAAATAAACTATTCTTAATGCGTTCAATTCAGTGGCATATGATATATTCACACTGGTACAAAACCATCACCTTGATAAAGTTCCAAATTTGTGTTGATATTTGCAGTTAAGACAGTCTTCAGTTTATTTCTTTTTGAGGTTTCCTAATAAAATAACAATGTGGTACAGAATCTAGAAATCTGAGAGGTTTTGGTAAACTTTCATTTGGAATTAAAACAGTCACTTAATACATGAATGATACATGTTTGTGCTTCATAAATGAATGATAATAAAATAAGTTAGAGTGCTATTAACCAATAAGATAAAATGCTGATTAGAGAGTGTCCTGCTAATTATCTTCAGGAGAACTATGAAGAGGTACTACACCCCAAAAGGCACATTTCAAATAAAATTTGATTATTGTTAGCTGTAGAAAGTTCAATCTTTAGTGGGTAATTTTGTATATGAACTTCAGAAACACTAATATAAAAGTCTATCCCTCTATGTTGGCCAACTGTTACATGATATAGTTGAAAAATGTTAAGCATAACGGCAAGATAAACACGGGTCATTGAGACAAGTAAAAACATACAGTATTTTATAAATAAGTACATAGGAATGAATGAACATTTAAGAGTAATAAAACTAGATACAACAGGCTTTGATGATGTAAAAATATATATGCTTAGAAAGAGCAGAAGGAATTGTCTTCCCACTCTCACTCCAACAAGGTAGAGAGAAGGTATGTGACAAGCTGGTGTTCTTTCTGCACACAGAGGATTAAGACATGAGAGAACCAGATGTTCTCTCAGGAAATCCAGAGATTTCTGGCCCTTTGTATTTTACTTTGTGAGTGGTTTTTAAAGATAGACAATGATAGATAGATGATAGATAGCTAGTAGCTAGATAGATTCATTGAATAATACATGTAACCTTAGGAAAACACATGTTTGAAGAGAGGAAAGATTCCCCAGGCCAAGTATCTCTCCCTAGAAGTCCTCCCTGGGGCCTGAAAACACTCTCAGAAGACAATATAATTTTGGGTTAAACTGTATATATGTGCTCTGAAAGTGGTCACATATCAGATAGTTACAGCATCTCTCCAATTAGTTTAAGAAACTAATTTAGTAGGACCAGTAGTGACTGGATAAATCAGGATGGAGGAATTTCCTCAAGACTAAGGATGTGAGGTTAAGGACTTCATTGGGAGAGGGTAGTTTTGGGGACCTGACCCAGAGCATCATGAGGGCATCGGAAACCCATCCTGAAAGAAGTAAAGAGCTCAGAGGCATTCTGAACAGGCTTGACTGTCCTTATGATCTGGTCTATAACTGGTGGTACTGGGCTCTCACAGAGAAGCCTTCTTAATACAGTCAGTATTCATTATTTCTCTGCAAAACATTTAGGGTACAATAAACAACATTTCCTGTATTGGGAAGTGATATCTTTTTTTTTTTTTAAATCAAGAAAAGCGATATCTGCAGCTTTACATAAGCATCCTTTTATTTCACCAACAGTGCATCTGCTTTTGGGTTAGTTGCACCTATCATACTTCGCCAGTAATGCTGAGCCTTTGAAGGAAGATTTTGTTGTTTGGCTCTTCTGAAGCTGGCTGATTTCAATTTTTCTTGACTGATCCTGTAAACTACTTAACTGTCCCCAAATTCCTCTTAAAGAGAAAATTTTCCATTGCGAATATGAGATAAACAACAACATCTTTAATATTAACATTCCTTAGCCCACCTACTTTGAAAGGCATGAGTTTTTCCATCACCCACTTTTCTCTTCTTGGCAGTAGTCATAGCAAAGTTTTAAATTTTATGTGGAAAATGGTCCATTTCATTCCCATCAACAATGCTCCCTGCTGCAAACCTCCATATCTGACTGAAGCAACTGTAGTTGACAACAGACTAATTGCTTCGGATGACAAATCCCTGAAGCAGAGGAGACAGATAGGATAGGTTTGGTTCCCTTTGGGCCTCAGTTTTTCCATTTGAAACAGGAAAAGGTTCCTGAAATTAGAGCATACAAGTTGGAATGACCATGGGTTGCCTATCAAGGATCTGAGTATACAGGTGTCACTCTAGTGTCATGAAGAATGAGCAAGGGATTTTGAGTCTTATACTCCTCTGTGTAAATCTCCGCTCCAAAAAGCACCTATCACTTCAATTCTGTCTTCTTTTAAGTGGGAATCATGTGTGGCTTGAAGCTTTGTTGTGAGGATTAAAAAGAATGTATATAAAGATCCTGGCATAGGGTAAGTACGCAGCAGGTAGCTACAGAGGCATTTAAAGTCTCTGAACTACCTAGCTTAGTGCTCCACGCACAGGAGAAGCATAATAAATGTTGGTTTCTTTCCTCTTTCCCTTTCTTATTATATATCACAGCAATGGCCTGGATTTTGGCATCAGGATTCAGATGCAATGCAATTAAGATATTGTCATGGACTGAATTGTGTCTGCCCCCTCCCCAAATTCATATGTTGAAACCCTAACCCCCAGCACCTCAGAATGTAACTGTACTTGGAGATGTCTTTAACTAGGTGATTAAATTAAAATGAGACCTTTAGGGTATGTACTAATTAATCTAACTCATGTCCTTATAAGAAAAGGACAGTTAGATACCAGCACTGTGCATGTGAGTGCATGTGCGTGCGCACATGTGTGTGTACACGCACACAGCAAAGATCACGTGGGGACACAGCAAGAAGGCAGTCATCTGCCAGCCAAGGAGAGTGGTCTCAGAAGAAACCAAACCTGCTGACACCTTGATCATGGACTTCCAGCCTCCAGAACTGTGAGAAATTAAATGTCTGTTGTTTAAACCACCCAGTTTCACTGTTTTGTTATGGCAGCCCTAGCAAACTAACACAGAGGTGAATATATTTCTGAATATGTGCATCTGATGATATGTACAGATCCCCCCAAATTTTTTAAAAAGTAGAAAGAAAGAAAGGAAGGAAGGAGGGGAGGAAAATTCCTGGTGTTAAGGGCTGAACTGTGTCCCTCCAAATCAAACCCTGAATTCTTAATCCTCAGGACTTTGGAACGTTACTATATTTGGAGACAGTGTCTTTACAGAAGCAGTTAAGCTAAAATCGGGTTACTAGAGTGGACCCTAATCTAATATGACTGATAGTCTTATGAAAATAGGAAATTTGGGTGCAGACAATGTGAAAATACAGAAGGAAGACGGCCATCCACAAGCCAAATAGAGAGACCTGGAGCAGATCGTTTCCTCAAAGCCCTCAGAAAAAGCCAATCCTGCCAACACCTTGATCTCAGGCATCTAGTCTCCAGAACTGTGTGAGAAAATACATTTCCCTTGTTTAAGCCACCCAGCCTGTGGTGCCTTATTTTGACAGCCCTAGCCAATTCATCAGTGAAATAACATCTGCAAATCCAATAAGCAAGTAAATCAAGCCATACATTGTCAGCAAAGAAAGCTAGTTTTTCAATGTTTCTAGAATAAAGTTTCTCTAGTTGTTATATCTTATAGTCCAAAAAGCAATATCAAAAAACCTGGGCCTCACACTGTGCTAGAAAAACAAAGCTGTTTTTCCTCCCATTTTATCCTAAGAAAAACATTTATTTTACAGGCATATTTTAAAAACATTTATAACAATGTAAATTTTAAGAACATAAAAGAATGGCAGTATTGGAAATCAATGTTATTGAGAATTCTCTTTTACAGCTATTTTTATTGTTGGAATTATGACAGATTGGCATCCATTTAGACCACTACTTCTGAGGGTCATTAATTTTACACTGACCACCAGATGAAAATCATTAGTTTAGCCTCCATGTAGCAGACCATGAGCAATGTGTCTCATAGATGTCATTGACTGCATTTGAAGTTTTGGAGGCTAGGTGTAGATTACCCACTGTTTTTGTATTGCCATATAGCTCCTTCATATCAGCAGTATAGGTAAACTCAATTTTCCTTACTTCTTTTTGTATGGTTCTTATTCATGAAGGCAATTGGTTTTCTGAACGGAAATATGGTTGCTGAATTTTTCTGGCTTACATTACAATTGCTATTTAATGATGAAGTTAATGATTACACATAATCTTGGGGAAATTTTGGGACATAGCTACAAAATGAGGATAATAATACCTTCTAGAGCCCAGAGCAAGTGCCCACTTGAGGTTTTGTCCAGCACTGAGGTACACGAATGTGTGAATTTGATTACAGCTCAGCTTCTGTTTAATGCCGTTTCAACGCTTTTTTCAACCCAATCCCTATTTTTATCATTTGCAAGTATCTGCTTACTTATCCAACTGTTAGAGAAAACCCTAGGATAGCCCTCCCTATATTAGCCACAGAAAAATTGGTTATATCCCAGTTTTTGTCTGGAAAGATGCCATCGGGAGGTTAACAGTTTCCCTGGCCTAGTTCTCAGTGGCATCATTCTCCCATCCACATTTTTCCACACAAGCATTTATACAATAAGATGTTCTAGTAAAAGCATAAATAGAAGCAGGAAAAAACCTCCCTTAAAAATCTCTAATCAAGGGCTTCCCTGGTGGCACAGTGGTTGAGAGTCCGCCTGCCGATGCAGGGGACACGGGTTCGTGCCCCGGTCCGGGAAGATCCCACATGCCGCTGAGCGGCTGGGCCCGTGAGCCATGGCCGCTGAGCCTGCGCATCCAGAGCCTGTGCTCCGCAACGGGAGAGGCAATCTCTAATCAAGACCACAGCCACAGCTAGCTCTGTTATTTGCTCTGCAGATTTCTTGGAATTTATGCAACACTCTCAACTTGTATTGTTACCCTGGATCCAATACAGCCAAAAAGACTGAAATAAGACAGATGAGATTTGCATCAAGTGTCTGAAGGCCTGGGTGCCCAAGGAAGGCACTCAAACATTATCTCTAAATGCTTTGGTTCCATTCATTGTTTCGTGAACCATAAACATCCTCAGGCTTTTAGCCTGGGTTATTTTAAAGTGACTGCCCTTCAGAAAGCTCTTTGGCTCTCGATAAGGTTGACCACTGCTTCATTTTGTGAGGTAAGTCCTATGTGTAGGTCTGTCTTGCTTAAGCAAGTTGACGAAGGATAGGAGCCCAGCATGGCTAAATACAGTTCACTGGTCATTTGTTAAAGAATAACTTAACCTATAGTTTCTAACCCTCCACAACAAAACCTATTACTTTTTCTCTGAAAAAGCATTCTGTTATGTACAATTTCCCTTTTGCCATTTTCCATGGCACTGACATAGGTAAAAGCCCAAGTGAACATAGAGTGTCTAAGGCAGAATCAAAACAGCCTAAATGATTACACACTGAATTATGATCTGGGGCAAGGGCAACACACCTATATTTTATATACATAATATTTGTAGCATCATTTCTTTAGCTTTGTTGTAGCAATTATCTATTTCTGGCTTTCTGTTCAATTATCACAATTGTTAACATAAAGGTGACCGTTTTAGCTGTATTTCCTATTTCATTTTTCTCTAGAGGATCTTTGAATTGCTTTATCTAAACTTCATTTTCTTTAAATTAAGAGTTTTTCTGAAATTACTTTTTCTTTTCTAGGTTAAAGAAAGTAATGCAAACTAAATGAAAATGTTCAAAATGCTGTCTCTGCCATTGGCAAATTACCTGTCTGTTTTTGCTGTTCTCATCCAAACTCAGCTGGAATTCCAATAACTTGTATATCAGAGTGCTTAGTGGCAGGCCAGTAGCCCTGATAAGGTGATGTACATCAGTCAGTAAACTGACTAAGAAAACAAATGCACACTTCGCTTTAATAGCAATGATTACCTATTGCAGTTATTGAAAAACAAATAGCTTTTATCTATCAGTAATTAAATCTTCACTTTAACAAAGTTGTTGAGCATTTTCCTGAAATTTTCATATGAGGAAAAAGCAAGCCGGGGAGCTTAAAATTAAATTTGATAATAAAAATCATAAAAAATGATCTATACTTAGTGCTTTTGAAAACTTAAGTAACATGTACATATTTTTACAAAACTAAAAGAGTGCAGTATTTAAATGTACTATCCTTTAAAGTTTCATAAACTGAAGTCACCTAGTTTTTACTCACCATGTTAAATTTTGGTATTTTGTTTTATTTCTCAATTTTTACTCTGAATTTTTATAAGATAAATATTATGTTATTATTATTTATAGTTTGAATTACTTTCTATTCATTTCTTTCTGAGCTTCGTCTTTAGAAATGAGATTTTGCAGCATCTAGACATGCACTAAATTAGTATCTCTAAGAGTCCTCATCCAACAGCAATCATACCATTGTATACCCCCAGAAATGAGTTGACCAGGATTATCATCAGGGTAACCAGACACTTGCTAACAGTAAAAGGTACCCCATGTCCCCTCACAGCATCATAAATCTCAGTAATTTCTGTCAATAGAGGAGGGCTCATCTAATTGCACACTCTCTCCTTTTATGGAGCAAGAACCAAAGTTCAGCAACTCTCAACTGGTCTCTGGTTTCAAGGTAGGATAAACCATACAGAAAAGGTTTCCCCTGACATCTGTGTTCACTTCTGAGTGACACATTTTCAAGAACTCACCCTCGGGTACTTTCTGGAATCATGAGTACAAAAACTATTTGTAATTCATCTATGAGGATATGCACATTTATTTTGACTACACTTTTTTTGGAGGCACCATTTCTCTAAGAATTTCATCTCAGTAACTGATAATGAGGGGTCTTTATT